AAAAGAGATATACTATTCCAGAAAACGACGTCGTTTTACTTTTATTGAGCAGAAAATGTCCCTAAAGGAGCCATACAACAGTTCTTCATGTAGCCACTCAATGGATTCACTCAAGGGGTTTATTGCCTCGCGAATTCACCACCGCAAAAATTTTCGCATTCGTCAAGTAGAAGCGGAGTTGCGAACACTTGACGAACGCTGCAATGGGCATTCTCTCTTCTCCAGTGCCGACAAAAACGTTTGAAGATAAACGAGGAGGGTTGCACACGGAAAGAAGACACGTCACGCGCGCCTCATGACCTTGAGCACTTTTAAATGCGAAGCATTTCTTAGTGAACTTCGGCGAGTTTGAGCGTATCTATCTATCTATCTATCTATCTATCTATCTATCTATCTATCTATCTATCTATCTATCTATCTATCTATCTATCTATCTATCTATCTATCTATCTATCTATCTATCTATCTATCTATCTATCTATCTATCTATCTATCTATCTATCTATCTATCTATCCACCTACGACTTTAAGCTCTCCTGGCCGTCTCGATAATGGTATCGATAGCGAAATCGGAATGGCATAACATGACTGTACGACCAACATAACTGACTAGTCATAAGATGAAAATCATGACATGTGTGTCATGAATGTCATGATTTATATTTCATGGTCTTGCTGCCCTTGCGGTGGTTTCGTTCACATGACATTTCGCAAAACTGGTATGGTAAGGGATGACCACATAGTGAACATAAGTGACAGATTCTAACGTAGAAATCATGACATGCATGTTATGATATTTATGTTATGACTAGTCATGACTACTCGGCACGCTCATGGTGCACTCGTGGTCGTTTCGCTAGCGTCATAAGAGAGTTTTAGTACTGCGTACGCTGCGTACGTGGCGGCGTTGCGTACGTAAGGACGCCACGTTCTGCGTAGTGCGCATGCGCAGACCGCAACGCGCACGTATCGCGTTACGTACGCAGCCGCTACGTACGCACGCATGAGATGCGTATGAGCTGATCGCGCCGCTCTCGAACAAGTTCGCGACAGCGCGAGACTTCGTTTTGCAAAATAGCGGCATCGAAGGCAAGCACCGACCGGCTCTGTGGCTTAAAATATGGCCATAATCTGGCTATAACACTTGGATTGGCTCACATTGGCTGTCAACAACACGTGCTTCTGTTTTGATATACCAGATGGCGCAAGACGCTTCACGCTCGTTACGTACGCGCGTACTACGGCGTACTAAAAGCCGGTTAGTGGCAAACGACGCCACGTAACGCAAGGCGCTTGCGTGATGCGTACGTAGCACCATTCCGCAGTACTAAAACTCTCTATATATACCAAATTTTGTACTACGGGACGTGAATGGATGACGAAGGTACCTGACTGGTGTCAACATGATAATCATGACATGAATGTCATGTAAGATTATGACCACATGCCACGCTCATGAAATGCTCGCGGCTGTTTCGCTACCTTCACATATACCAAATTTGGTGTTATGTGGCGTCGATGAATGACGAATGTATATGACTGGTGCAAACATGATAATCAGGACATGAGTTTCATGTAAAATATAGCTATATGCTACGCTCATAGCGTGCTCGAGGCCGTTTAGCAGCTCCACATATACCGAATTCGTTATTACGTGACGGGAATAGACGACGAAGAAAGATAACACGTCCAAACATGATAATAATTATATGCGTGTCACGTAAAACATTACTACTTGCTACGTTTATAGCGTGCTCGCGGTTATTTCGCTAGCTCCACATATACAAAATTTGTTATTACGTAACGTGAATGGGCGACGAAGGTAAATGACACATCCAAACATGATAATCATGGCACGTAAGGCACGTACGACAAAGTTTACATTTATCTCGTAACGTTGCGCTCTTTTCAAAGTGACATATAAACCTTCCTAATTCGTGCTTCGCAGATAATCGATTGCTACAGTACGTGGGATCTGCCAATTTTCTCCCTTCCCCCTCTCTCTTTTTCGTTCGATACGTGGCTTTTCAGTGCGATCGCGCAAGCAGCGCATGGACAAGTCGTGGCCTCCCGCGGTGACCGCTGTAATGACCGAGCGCGCAATGCTCAAATCAGCCAATGGCTGATACAGTGGCTGTGGCGAGTCATTTTTAAGTGTGAATGCACTTTATAAGCGACCCCAAACCATCCACCGCCGTCGGCGGCGTCCGCAGTCTTCTCTCTATCTTTAAAAGAAAGAGGACTTGGCGGGCCGCAGCGCGACGCTCTACCGAATAAGCCACGGACGCGACGCTGATATCGGTGTCAGTAACGCGCCTTATACCCCCTCCCCCTTCGCTCGCTCCTCCGCTCTCCTCGCTCGCTGCAGCTGCGCGCGCACCCCTCTCTCTCGCGCGCCCGCCTTCTCTCTCAGTCTCCCGTCGAGAGCGGGTGGTGAGGGGGAGTAAAGTTAAAATCCGTTGGCATTCGCCAGTGAGTTAACGTAAACTCCCCCGTGTGATCAAATTGCGATTCCCAGGAACCATTACACCATAAGGGCACCATAGTGTGATTAATAAATATAATAGTGCGAATTAATAAATACCCCTCATAGCATCACCCCGTGTATTCGCACTTAACCATGTTCACCCTCGGGGAAATGCTTGGGATTTTTTTTAGCTTGTATCGTCGTTTGCTGGCAAAATAGAAATCAATTTCCAGCTGACTTAGAGAATTCATGATGCGTTCAAGGCCGCGAGTTGCGGTGTATTTGGCTCGTATGATCTTGGGAGACTCGACTAGCGATCGGCGGCGTTTTCTATGCTGCAAGGTCCCTTTAACTACGTAAAAAAACTTGTAATTGGTGACTTAAATGGACGTCACGGTTCTAGTAGGTCGTAGACAAACTTTTGAGAATTCAAGCTTTTACAGGTATTTACTGTTTACGGTTACGGTGATTTGCTTGTTATTCAAATCGTCCGTCGTGCTGGAGTATAATAGTTATGGTGCCATTGTGAGCCGAAGGTCGCAGGTTGGATCCCAGTGGCTGCGGTCGCACTTCGATGGAAAAGAAATCCAAGAGGCCCGTGTCTGAAGCACACCAGTATGGCGTCTCAGTATAATATCTTGGTTTTAGGACATAAAAGCACAGTTCTATTATTATTATTATTATTATTATTATTATTATTATTATTATTATTATTATTATTATTATTATTATTATTATTATTATTGATGATGCAAAACGTACCGAAAACACTGTTTCTAAAAAAAGAACTTTTATTCTCGGTCTTTATGATTTGATTTTGCATTTCTCTTGAGTGTCCCTTTTAAGGGTACACTTGGCATACGTATAGCCTGCTCGAAGCACAACCATTTTGGGAGCGCACGGTCGTCTACTAAGCTGATTAGTTTTTTTTTTCCCTCACATTTAATGACCGAGAACTTCGATGCAGCGCAACTTCGCAACGTCCCGGTATACTATTTCTGGCGCTCGAAAAGAGCGCTCGTTTGGCGCACGTGTACTTGAAAACTGGAAACAAAGGAAAGAAATATGAACTAACTTCCTGGAGCAGTTGAGAATCTAGCTTGGAGTGCCGGTAGATGGAATTGAGACAGAGCTGAGAATAGCGCTAGAAGCGAGAAGTTATATCAAGCATTACGTCTTCGCTGGTACGAGCCATCGAATGCAGCAAGGTGTTTCTAAGAAACAATGCATTGTCGAGCAGGAAGGCAGCTAGGGAATAAAATATGAATTGCGGAACTTTGTAGAGTCACAACGCTACTTTTATCGAGCATGTTGCTTAGAGTCAGTGTATTTCAAGTACGAAATGCGTCTGATACGACTATATATTTTAAAACGGTGTTCACCTACATATAGAACCTCCGTCCTTCAGATCTCACCCCGGTATGTAATGTTATATATGAAAAAAGAAACTTGTAACTATAATAGTAAAGTTGAGTTCTACCGCTTTCAAGATCTAGGATTCGCTTAATGGCGGACCACGAGGCCGGTGATGTTTTGCACCTGAGGTTTCAAAGTATTCCAGCGTAAAAGAGCTTTATGAACGTTAGCCTAGTGGTTTAACCGTAGATTTACTTTCTTTAAGGTATAATGCGATCGATATCTAGTCTGGCTAAGTCCTGAATTTAGCTTGTTTTCTGGACAATATAACTTCTAAGGTTGGGTAACTTCTTTTAGTTTCGTTAGCTTTTAACTCACCTTTCCTGGTGATGGTGAAGAACTTTATTCGAACCAGCGGATTGAGACGCCCCTTTCTGCTGTCGATTTCTTACAGAGTAAATTATTACCGTGCATTACGTGAGCCTTTCTTTTGTTTTTGTCAACTATCTCCAGAAAGCGGTGAATTGTTTTCGCGTCACTGTCACAAACATTCAACTCCACATTTAAGGGTAGACCTGACACATTAGTTATGATAAATTTGGACGATTGCCCTTGGAGATGCCTGTGTAGTGGGCCGCAGTCACATGTTTGATGGTCAACGAAGACTCATACGGGTGCTTCTTCCAGTGTGTACGAAATTTCATTTGTTTATAAAGTGTTCTTTAAGATAAATTCATTGGAAGGTTCTCGGCGTTCAATTATTTTTAATTTTATTAGTGATTTAGTGAAACTTTTTCTTAAGCTAGTTGGTGAATGACTTCTGAAAGAAAAGTTGTTGTGCAAAAGAACGCAAGGACATACAAGGAACATACACGGAGTCTGTACGTCCAGTGTTCCTTGTATGTCTTGATGTTTTTTGCGCTACGGTTTATTATTCGTTAGTAATAACTACTTTATTTCAATAGGATCAGAATCTGAGCTAACGCCTTTCAATGGGCTTGCGTCATTTAGTGAAAGAAAACGAAATCCAACGTCACGCCCTGCGCGTTCGCCTCGTTCTTTTGCAGCTCTCGCGCCAACCTTCGCCATTGCTCCCTTGCTGCGAACCGCTCGCTTCAAGATCGTCATGCAACGGCGACTTCTGGCCCTTCTGGGCTGCATTTGGCTTTGCTTCGCAATGGGCATCGTCTGCACCATCTTCACGGTCAAGCTCAAGATACAGACCGAGTACATTCTGCGCGCTCTCGAGAGCTTCTACTCGCAGCAGCAGATGACCGAAAAGCCGGCCGGCGAGTGCAAGACGGCGTCCTGCCACTGGCACAGCGACTACCTTTGGGGCCGTCTCAACGAATCGGTCGATCCGTGCCAGGACTTCTACGCGCATGTCTGCTCCTCTGCCTGGTTTCGAGAGGACGGCCAGCTGAGCGACCAGCCGTACGCAGACTTCTCGGTTGCTCAGTTGCTTGCGGACGTTCGAGACTCGCTGACTCTCTACGGAAGCCGGCAGCCAGAGAGTGGGCATGGTGCTTGGAGCTTTCCGGTGCAGGCCGTGTCGCTGCTCCATCTCTGTCACCGGGCGTCGTCGTCGTCCTCTTCAACCAGTGGTTGGAACGAAGTCCACGATGTGCTATTTCGAGTGGGCCTTGGCGGCTGGCCATTCGCGGACGAGCCTCCAGCCGATTGGAGCCTTCTTCCGGTGCTGGCGGGCCTTGAGCGCGACGTGGGTGAAGGAGTGCTGGCCAACGTAGCACTGCGCAGGGACCTCTCGCAGGCGGATGAGTACCAGCTGCACGTGGACCCACCCGAGACGCTGCTTCACAAGTTCCTGCTCCATCGACGCTCATCCAACTCACTGGTAGAGTATGAGACCCAACTGGCGCAGCTCCTGTCCTCGGCGGCCGGCGGCAATGCGAGTGGCGCTGCTGTGGTCAATGCGAGCATTAGCAGGGACTCGGTGTACTCACGTCTCGCCGCTGACCTGGTGGCCTTCGAGAAGCGACTGGAAGCTATCCGCGCAGCCCCATTGCTGCCCCTAGAACAGCGATATGTGCGCGCGGGACAGCTTGGCGCCGTAGCCAAGTGGAACTGGACCACCTTCTTGGCCGAGACGTTCCACGGCACGCGCACTGTGGTCCACAACACAACCGTCGTCTGTGACCGGTGCACCTACTTCAGCAAGGCCACGCTACTGGTGCAGGAGACGCCACAGAGGACGTTGGCCAACTACGCCGGCGTGAAGCTGATAGTCCTGCTGTCACCGCTGCTGTCTGCCGATGAGTCCTGGTCGGCCTTCGTGACAAAACTGGCAAGCAGGGGCCTAAGTGGACTGAGCGAGAGGCTGGAAGCCTGCCTCAGCCTGCTGGAACGGACCTACCACTACGGTACAGCCATGCTGGCGCGCATGTCACTGGGCCGCCAGTTCTCCACTGTGTATCGGACTCAGTACGACCGGCAACTGGCTGCGCTCGCCTCTTCGGTGCTACACTCGGCCAGCCAGCGTGCCTCGCGCCTCGCTTTCCTGCGATCGGATGAGAGGCGCAAGGCGCAGTCCAAGCTACAAGCCATGTCCTTCCAGGTGTTTGGCACAGCACCGAGCCTGTACTGGCCGGCGCTCTACTACGGTGTCTCGTCGCCCCTGCTTAGGGAGTCCGAGCCGCTGGTAAGCACCGTCACCCTGCTGAGGCACACACGACGTGTCTACCTCTTGTCGAAGGTGCCCAACCTCGACCTCGATGCTCGGTACCCGCTCCGGGTGTTCGGTGCTCCCAACAGCTACTACTACCCGCTGCGAAACCTTCTTTTCCTGCCGCAGAGCCTGGTGGCCTTCCTGACACGCGTCTCGAACACCATCGACGCGCCTTTCATTCCCGTCATTGGTCGGCCCATCCTGGCGGAGGCCTTGCGCGCCATCGACGCGCTTGACGGCAGGCACATAGACGACGTGCTCTCACTGCAAACCTGGTGGGGCCACAACTCGAGCGCTCGCTTCGACCGTCTGACACGCTGCTTGCTGGACCAGTACGCCGCGATCTTCTGGTCTTCGACTTCCGGAAGTGTCAGCGCCAACTGGCGCGAGAACGTGGACGTGCACGCGCTCTTTCGCGACGTGGCGTCTGTGGGGCCGCTGCTGGAAGCGTTCCGGCAGCGTCCAGGCTCCGACAAGATCACCGTACGCGTGAGTCGCAAGCGAGTGCTCGATCCTACGCAGCTGTTCTTCGTGAACTTTGCGCTCTCGCTGTGCGACCATCATGGACGCGGGACGATGGGCCGCCTGCAGACCAAGCTTGGGTTGGTGCCAAACGCCGTGCGCGTCAACCTGGCGCTCGCGAACTCGAGGGAGTTCGCTCGCGCTTTCAAGTGCAGCCCCAACCGGACGATGGCTCCGGCGACACGGTGCAGAACCTGGTGACAGCAGGCGGCTGCAGTGTGTCGTCGTAAATAGATATTCGCTTTCGTTTTGTAATGTTTTATCGCTTTCTCCAATGTTTGATTGAATTGGCTGGAGCTGTTGAAATCTCTAGGGTAGACTCGAGAGATGGCTCGGCTTCAAGTGCAAATTTAAATTCGGAGTATGAATGCAGATATGTAATAAGTTCTTGCTTCGTAAATGTGTATTTCTAGCCGTCTGGTGCGACAAGAAACTACATGGTGTGCAGTTGCTGTTATTTTACTGCCTGTGCTTGTACGAAAAGAGTTCGGCGAAATTAGTTTTTACCTGCTCATCTGACCGACTGACGCGATAGAAGCATTCCATGGCAGCGTCTTTATCATCTGTCAGTTAATCGACGACGACATTTCTTATAAAATGAGTTTGACTTTCACTGTGTGGGCATACATGCCTGAACACTTTTCTAATCGATGGCAACTGCTTAGCGCAATGAAGTTTACATCTTCAATTAATGCTATAAATACTGACAATGTTCCGTTTGCACTTTGCGATATGGTGTGTGCATTTTGTGGCTTCTTTTTGTCGGACATCATTCTACGGAAGCCCGCAAGGTGAAGTTAGGTTCACAGCAAGAAATGAATGGTCTACACTTTATAGCATAAAGATATGCAAATGTGTCTTGAAAACTTAATTTAATAGTAAATTCTTGGCCATGACAAATATTCGACAACATAAAAGTTATCCGAGAAATTTGTGGGGATTGAGTTTGTAGTTTTAGGCTAGAAATAAACGCTCAGCAGACCCAGCGGCGTTGATAGGCGTCCGTTCCTGCGTTGGACGCAAGGAAGTTTAAAAAAAAAATGGGGACCCTTACGCTTAGCTTTTAAGAGTTGAACGCGATAGCGATACCCCACCCAAAAGCGCACTTCAACAACTTAGTCTATGGCATGTTAGAACTTGCTATGCACCCACTACGTGGCCTTAACCCTTTGATGTCCAAGATTTAGTTTCAATGAATATTACCAAGAAAACTTTGGCATGCTTTAGGAAATGATAAAATATGCCAATAACATTTTCAGAAAAAAAATATGAATAAATATTGAGTTGTTGCTCCTGAGAAACATTGTGCACCTATGGTACTACTACACGTAAAATGCCTTCCAGAAGTAGCGGCCTGGAATAAGGTGTATATGCACGTTGCACCATTCAAGATTAAGATTTAAAGGTATACATCCTACATTTCTGGCTTACACCTGCCCTGGATGACTGACAATGAGTTGAGTAGCCTAGAAAGAAAATATTTCAAAGCTAGAAAAGAGAATATATCCTCTGGTTTCGTATAGAGGAAATGATCTTTTTTGGATTTATTATTAACACAACAAGCACATCAAACTACGCAGACATTTTTGTAAAAGTAGAGTTTCTTCCTTCTCCTCTGCCGGACAGATCGGGCCACTTGTTCATGGAGTGACGCAAACGAGGAAAAAGATGATGAAGGGAGCGCGAACCATTTCTTAAAATAATAGTTTTCTTTCTCTGCCACACTAAAAACATCGAATATAGCAGCAGGAAAAGGCTGCGATGCAAAGTTGAGGATGAAAACTGGACTGACTCAACTTTGCAGCACAGCCTTTTCCTGCAGTGTTCCAACTAGCCCCCACACAAGCTTTTCTGAATATAACAGCTCCACACACTCTAACTTCTTCCAATCGCATCTTCCCATATCTGCTGGTACTCCCATATAAGCCCAGTGTTGATCGTGAGCAACACAGCATTTGTTATCAAGATTTCCGTGGTGTAAAATGCGTCCACACTAACCAGCGTGCACATAAATGCTCTACAACGCCTTCCGATCCGTTTGAAGTATAAAAGTTGTCGCAGTAGCTTTTTTTCTCACTGTAGTCGAATAAATTTTCTTCCGTGTGTGGAGCTTCCTTTAACACCTGGCAGATGCTCAAAGAAAACGCGACAAAAACGGGATACATTTATATTTGCGTATTGTTTTAAAATTCAAGATGCTCGGCAGTGTTTGTCTCTTGCCGCATAAAGCGCCCGAAGGGTCGGGCAGCAGGTTGAGTTTGCAGAAAAAAATATTTTTGGGGTTGTTGCCCCAGAGCAACAGCGGGCGTCAAGGGGTGAAGGGTGCAGTATCGTATGTGCGTTTTGGAGTAGGTGACTGGCCTCAACCTGTGATGCCGTTCTGATAATCGCATGCTCTGACGCCCGATGGCAATGTGCGCTTGTACCACGCATTATTACGACAATATTTCACATTTTACTGGGAGCAGGACGCGTTTGTATCATGAAAGTTAGTTTCACTGCATTTCCAAGCAGTGGAAGTTAGTTGCCTTGTATTCACAAGCAGAGGCGTGGCTGTGTGGTCGAACAACGACTTGCCGCGCCAACGAGCCGGTTTATATCTCCACTCAGGCCCAGAATTTTTAATATTTATTTTATTTTCGGCTCTCTCGATTACTCGGTAGCGCAAAGATGACCATTTTTCACCCACACTCTTCTATTGTAACCGCAAGACTTACTTCTGGTCATCCACAAAAATCACGTGGAATACGCACGAACAGTGTCATTTTTTTGCTATTTCATCATCTCTCACAAAATGATTGCTAAGGTCATCAACTCATGCTTGAATCAGAAAAATTCTGATTTTAACGCGATGGAAACAGCTCGTTTTGCAGAAATTGCAGCGTCGGCGTCCGTGTCAGCGTCCGCATCGTGTAGGGGTCGTTGATTATGAGCGAAAGATCTTCTCCGTGACAGAAAAATTTAGAAAGATGCCAATAAAATACGGAATAAACATTTCAGGTTCCTGGTGAGGATTCAATCCAGGTCACTTGTGTGGCGATTATGGTGTTCCACCAGAGAACCAAACCATTTCTTAAAACTGTTTTGGCGAAAACCGCTATGTGAATGTCGAGTAGAGGAAGGAGTATATCCTTAACGCATCATGTATCGCGTAGCGAAATCCCATAGAACCTCGCCAGGTGTCGAACGATGTGAATTCAGCTACGAGTTGGCGTTTTAAAGGCCCACCAATGTCGAAGTGCCCAGACGTATTTAATAATCAGCAGCAGCGATACCATCAACAGTGTGAACAGCTGCGTGTATGTTCGCGTGTTACCCTACGAACGCGCGGTGTGCATTCTGCTGATTCGCATAAAAAATCATTATGGCGCAGTTGGCACTCAGCAACTGTGTTTGCGGCAGATATTCAGTGATGCTTTGAAAGTTCCAAGGTTACGCGCATATACAGTCGTTCGTTTCCTGACGGCACGGTTGAGGCAAGCATCAAGAACCGAAGCAGGCTAGCGTTTGAGGAGGCGATGCGGACTAGACCAGATTACGCGCTCGCCATTTATCTTTGAAGGCGAACCTCAAGCGTCTACTTACTTTTTCAAATATTCATTCTCTACCTATTTATACTTATGATGAAATGTTTCTTTCTCATACAGAGAAACGGCACTGTTAATTTCTTACACGCATAGCGACATTTGGCCACTTTACGGTCCTTTGCTGAAGCTGGCTACTTCTTGGCTAGTTTTTATGTGATTTGGATATTTGTTTGTTTTTTTGTAAGTCCTGGCAATCCTTTGCGGTGATTTTCTGCAAGCGGCTTCTTCTTGGCGAGCCTTCCTTGGCCTCCAGATGGCTAATTCTCGCGTACCACCGCCAGTGCACGACGAGGAGGAGCGCATGCGGAATCAGCAGTGAATTCACGACATTCGGAGAAAATCGGCTGCGTGGAATGTCGCCTTCGTCGTATTCAGGGACGTGGGGTTTGCCCGAATTCAGTGGCACATGCCTGTCCCTGAGGTTTTTGTACGCTCGAGTTTCCTGTACACATCATAGCTTACGGCCAGGTGAAACGACTTCGCTGCTAAAAAAAAAGAACCCTGTTGAGTTTGGTTGTACGTCATCATTTTTTGTTTCTCGCTGTCACCGAGTTAACGAGCGCAGCAAAAGATCTGGTTTCGGCGTCTGTGGCCACGCGATGGGATTTTGCCGAGATAAGCAGGATCAATCTGGCAATTTCATTGCTGAAACAGAAACTAAAAAAAAGGAAGTAACAAACCACGAAATAAAAAATAAATAATCACTACTAAAACAAAAAATCCAAATAAAAAACAAATAGCAACAATAAAACGACAAATTTTAAATAGAAAAAAAAGTCTAACACACTCATTTGTCTTTTATTGTACCGTTGCACGAAAAGAGTTTGTTTTGGAACACAATGACGCAACTACAAATGAAGTCCCTGCTACATGAAGGGGATGAAACCTGTTCCATTCGAGTGGCTTCCTGTAACAGTAATGATAACAACATTAAGGTCTCCAGCGAATCATACGTGAACGCAAAGCGAGCGTTCCTCAGGCATCCCAGCGGAGCCTCATTCCCTGCGTTGCACGCAGAAAAATTCCGGTCTTTTTTTCTCTTTTTAATAGAAACTGCATAGCTCGTCATAACGGCATGATGTCCCTGGAAAAGAAATTTGTTGTTTTTTCTAAGGAGACAAATGAACGTTTATACTGGCCAGAGTGCTGTTCGCCGCGACCAAAAGCGCCGTCGATCATGGCGAGGCCATTGTCCCGGACTATACGACAGCAACGACGCCTGAGGTGCGGACAACTAATGCGAGTGATGGTAGCTTTGTGGGCATTTTGCAGCCGTTAAGCCAGCTTGCGTTTGACAAAAATGGAGCGTGATGTTAAAGGTTTTGTTCAGAAATCAAAACAAACAAGTAAGGAACCAACTTATCATCATCACCACTATCATCATCATCATCTAAAACAAGATTTTATCAGGCTGCTCTATCATTAGCCAATAATCTACAGCACGTATTAGCCTGAAGAGAAGGTCAACAATAACAAGAAGAACAACCTTAAAATAACAATGACAGTACTGCGCAATGTAGTGGTGCTCTCTACTTAACTTTTTTTTGTTTCCTTCTCTCTCTTTTTTTCTTCAAAATTGAGCCTTGACACTTGTCCTATTCATTTTTTTTAAAA